GGTCCAGCCCTGCCCGTGCGGCAGACCGGCTGAAGAAGGGGGGGGAGGAGCAGGGGGGCGCGAGCGAGGAGCGACAAGGGGAGCGGACTCGTCAAGGCCGGTTGCTTGACCAGCGTGGAGGAAGCTGGGCTGCCCAAGGAGACCAGGGCGGCCAGCCTGAACAGCTGGGCGCAGGCCCCGTTTCCAAAGGCAGAAGTGTGCCAGTGATCAGAGCTCTGCCCAGGAGAAGAAAGAGGATAAGAGAAAGGAAGGGGGAACTGGCTTGTTTGGGGCTCTGATGCTGAGATGCTGGCCTGGGCAGATGAAAAGCCTCCATGCATCGCCCTCAGCTCCAGCTGGGAAAGCCCCTGCCCAGCCTTCAGAATTTGTTCCCCCCTTTTTTTAATACTGGAACTGAATTTTAAAAAATACTTAGGAGGGAAATGGGCGGTGATCCTTACAATATTCGTGATATTTAATTCAATTTAATCATGAACGAGACAAGGCTGCAGCACAGAGTTCAAAAGCCAAGCACAGCCCTTAGCAGGCTGGGGAACTTCGAAGGTGTGTGGGCTTCAACTCCCAGAATTCCCCAGCCAGCTTTCAATTCTGGGAGTTGAAATCCACACATCTTAAAGTTGCCAAGTTTGAAAAACACTGCTTTAAAGAAACCCAGTTCCTGGGGCCCAAATCCAGCTTCCTTAAGTATACGTAAAGCAATCCAGGTATACATTGGTTTCCCTATGTTTGCTGTTAGGTCTGTTTAGTTGAAAACCCTGGGACTGCTAATCCCACAAATACGGGGGGGGGGGGGGGGGGGCGTTCCTCTGTCACAAGCAAACAACAGATTGTCACGTAAGCTGCCGACAACATCTGACAAGCAGAGGAGGATTTTCTGCGTGTGCACCCAAACTACGCTGGAGGTTTTCAAGAAAAGATTGGACCGCCATTTGTCCGAGATGGTATGAGGACTCCTGCCTTGGTCAAGAGGTTGGACTGGAGGACTTCCAAGGTCCCTTCCAATCCTAGGATTCCTTGAAGTGATGTCATGTGTTACATTATGTGATAACCCTGGCTAACAAAATCCACCAGACCATGATGAGGTTTCTTTGATTTTGGCTTCATGTGTAGTATAAATTGTGGCTGGGTCAACCAACCATGGTTAAAACCAGTATGGCACAACGTTTTAAACCTTCCTTGGAGTGCTAGATCACAAGCTCTCTGTAATGTGAAGATGAAAAGAACTTGGGAAGAAGAAGCAGAGTTAGGACTCCAGTTCCTATCGTCCCCAGCTCCCAAGGCCAATTGCTGGGGCGAGGGAAGCTGTAACCAAAAGGATATCTTGAAGCTCGCCTCTTTCCCACCCCGATACTAGCAAAATCATGCCCGCAGCTCATTTCTGCCAATGTTCGAAAGAGAACAGGTAAGAATTGGCTACAGCTTTTGCTAAACAGCATCAGAGTCTAAGATTTAGGGAAAGAGCATCGGGGACAAAAACAACAAAAAAAGGGTTGGATGATCTCTGCTTCAAGACACATCTTTATTGTCTCCTTTCTCCAACTACTCTTAAAGCCCATCCCATAATACGTTCAGAGAGAAGCGGGGCAAAAGACACACAGATCCTCCAGCAAAATGGTTCAAGAGATGTGCGAGTTGATACGTAAAGCAGTCGTACCCCCAGGGGTATTTTGAGCTCCAAGTCACAAAAAGCCCTTTTAACACCAGCACCTGGAACGGGAAAAAGTGGCAACGTAATTCCCTTGCCTAACTCACATGTTCATAAAGACAGCTGGGCCCCGGTGGCTAATTCCTAAATAATAATAATAATAAAATGCTAGGTCATAATATGCCATGACCGTTTAGCCATGCATGCAATGTACTCTGTGTGTGTCCAACATGATGTTTTTCAACATCTGGTCCAGCTAAAGCTGCTCTCCAATCTTTTACTTTTAAATAAAGTAAAAAAAAAAAAGTTAAAAACAAACTTGAAAGCTTTGGAACGAAGACCCATTCCTTTCAATCCTGAATCTTCCATCTGAAAACCCATGGTGGATTTCAAGAGGACCGGCTTCCTTTTCAGGGCAAACTTTAGTAATAAATTAATGCATCGCGGAAGGGAAGGCTAAAGGGGTATTCTGTAAGGAAGGGGTGGGTGGGAATCCCTTTCATTGAAAAAGGTGTTCCGGCTGCCAAAAGGTTGCAGCAAAATTGTGGTCAATTTTCAGGCGGAAAGCATGAACAAAGAGTTGTGCAATCTCTAAAGCAAGCTTACAGCAATTTCAGGCAAACAAGCAGAAAAGTAACCATCTGCTTTTCCCAACTGACAGGAAGAACAAAGAAAATAAGAAAATCCCCATCCAGAGACTTCTCAATGTATAAGTTTAGTTTTGCACTAATTGAATCCAGCAGTAATCATCTCTTAATTCACAATTCGTTTACCATTGCCAAAAATAGGTTATATTCTTTCCGATAAAAATATTGCTGCTTTACATCCAATCTGTATAGCGTTCTTCAGAATTGAATATCCTGGAGTCTATGCGAGAAAAAAGAGAACACAACATTAGAACTATTTCATATTTTCTGTTTTCTTCAACATGGGTACCAGCAACTACTCAAGTCTTATTAGCACCATAAACGAGACTGGAACTGCTCCTACTGTTCTAGTTATCCAGGGAAAATGCTTTTTAAGAAATCGTGCCTTAATCGCTCCAGCTTGTTAAGGGTTCATGAGATGATTTTGGAAACTGCTCCCTGCAAGCTCTTCTATTATCATTGAAGAGACCTTCCAGTTCCTTGGTTTCCAGAAAGGTGGCAAAAAAGAAAATGATGAAGACTTCACCCTCACATGCTTTGAGATCTATTGGTTGCAGGGGGAAAATGGTTCAGTTGCTGAAATTCTTGTAACTCCCATCCTTTCTCAACACATCTTGCTAGAGCAGTGTTTCTCAACATTGGGAACTTTAAGTTGAAGTCCACACATCTTAAAGTTCCCAACGGTGAGAAACACTGTGCTAAGAGACTCTTGAGAATCCTGTTTGGAAAACGAATTACTTTCAGGTTCAAGGAGAGCTTTAGAGTCTGACAAGTGCAAAACCTTTAGATAGACAGAGATGGGTCTAGGGATCAGGAGGTTAATGGCTGGTTAGATGTTACTGTTGAGTGTTTATGGGTTTGTTCTCAGCCACTGTTACAGGTTTTTATGCTTTTACTGTAACTTTTTTTTATTGTTTTCCATGTGTTGTTAGCCACCCAGAGCAGCATTTATGAGAAGGGTCACCATATATATCAATGAAATACAGGCAGTCCTCACTTAACAACCATTCATTTAGCAAGTATTCAAAGTTATGACAGCGCTAAAAAATGACTTACGACTGGTCCTCACACTTACAATCATTGCAGCGCCCCGCAGTCACGATTGTGATCCAGGTGCTTGGCAACCAGGTCACACTTACAACGGCTGCAGCATCCCAGGGTCACATGATCACCATTTGTAACCTTCCCAGCCAGCTTCTGGCTAGCAAAATCAATGGGGAACTGTGTGATTCATTTAATGACTGCATGATTCACTTAACAACCACTGCAAAAAAAGTCATAAAATCAGGTCTGGTCACATGATTCGCTTAATGACCACACTGCCTAACAACCTAAATTCCAGTCCCAGTTGTGGTGGTTAAGCGAGGACTACTTGTAGACATTGACTACTTTCTGGCAGGCTTATGAGCTACACCTGGGAGAAAGGGAGGGCAGTGGTAGGAGGTGACCATTCTTTATGCTACAGCTTGACAAATTGTTGCTTAAGCGCATTGGGGGAGATTAAAGTGGCAGCCTTCCCATTTCATTTAACCCTTAATGCTGTGGAATGAGGCTACATGAGGTGTAAACAGTGGTGGATGGCTCAGAGGAATGGCTACCAGCATGGGGAACCAAGGTCAGCATCAGTTGTGGGTGCTTCTGATTATTCAAATGTTGAGGATGTTTGATGCTAACTTACCAGTTCAGCATCATAGTCCAGCCCAGTGTCATGATGCTGCATCTCTTCATCCCGAAATTTCTTTATGATCTGGTGGTGTTTTTGTATCCAAGAAGCAAGTCAAGTGAGAAAACAAAACATATGTAACTTGTTAAAAAATGTGAGAAACATCCAAAGCGTTACATTTTAAATGAAACCATAAAACATCAGGTTAGCATATGGCTTCTGAGCCCCTGTTTTCAGCTCCTGGAACCCTCTCTGACCCAAAACTGTGACGTGTCATCAGTTCTTAAAATAGGCTTTCAAAACAGTGAAAACAAAGAATATGCTTTTGGGGGATTGGCAAGCTGACAATCTAGTCTAAGAAGTGATCAACAAGGTTTTACAGTATATCACACATGGCCAAGGACAACCTTTGCTTCCACTGGAATTCAAGAAGCTGCAACAGACTAAGACTTCTTAACTCTTTTCTAATCCTGCCATGCGTCTGCTGGAAATCACTGAAGATTACCTTTTGACCCTATTACAGGAAATATATCATTTAGTAAAGTTATATTATAGGTCAAAATCAAATCAAATCTTTCTTCTAGTCATTGACCAGCATTACATAAGCATTACCCAATTTGGTTAGAACAAAGTAGTCAAAACTACAAATACTGCTTGAACATCAGATATCAGAAAAAGAACAAAATAAGACACAATGTGTATATTCCCTAATATAGAACTCCTAAACTAAAATGGGTAGTCCTCAACTTACAACCACAATTAGAACCAAAACTTCCATTGCTAAGTGATGTGGTCGTTAAGTGAGTTGTGCCTGATTTTACGACCTTTTTTGCTGCGGTCATTAAGTGAATCTGGCTTCCCCCCATTGACTTTGCTTGTTGGAAGTCCCTTGGGAAGGTTGCAAATCGCAATCACATGACCCTGGGATGCTGCAACCATTGTAAATACATGCCAGTTGTCAAGCATCAGAATTCTGATCACGTGATTATGGGGATGCTACGACGGTTGTAAGTACAAGGACTGTTCTTAAGTCACTTTTTTCAGCGCCATCATAACTTTGAATGGTTGTTAAACGAATGGTCATAAGTCAAGGACTACCTGTATTACTGTTAGCATTAATATTATAACTCTGTAATTCACATTAAAACTATATTTCTGGCAATCAAATGGTAGTTAGACCTAAGATAAATGAGCTGAGAAGAAAAACTTGTATCTAAAATTTCCCTATCTATGAAGGTGGAGGAGCACTAATTGTAATAACAGCATACAGTAAAGAAATTTGGTAAAATTTTTGTCCTGTAGACCTCTAGGTGACCATTAGATCCATTAGAGCAACACAATCCCCTCTCCCCAAATCCTACTGCCATCTAGGGCTCATCTGGATTTCTACAACCCATGTCTGAAAGTCTAATTAACATGAGATAGGCATTTCAAATATAGAACGAACAAAAGAGAAAGGGATTAAGTAGCTGTCTTTGCAGCATTCCCAGCCATTGTTCTAAGGCTAATGCTTATTTAAACAAAGTAGAAATAAAGATCAGGAGGACAAAAATGTAATCGATCTTTAAATATAATTGAGTATTTTTTTTTTTTTGGCTTTTCTTCCTTCTGCATTCATTTGCATTGCCTTATCAGTACTTTGGAAATAGTTGTTGTATTTATGAAACTTACTTAAATTGTCTCCAAAGTTTCAGAGTGATAACTCTACATCGGTGTTTTTCAACCTTGGCCGCTTGAAGATGTGGGGCAGGGGAATTCTGGGAGTTGAAGTCCACACATCTTCAAGCGGCCAAGGTTGAAAAACACTGCATAAAATCAAATCAAATCAAATCAAATCATACATGGATTAAAGTAATACCTCGGTTCACGAACGCTTCTGTTCACGAACAATTTGGTTCACGAACAGCACCATTCGCAAAATTTTGCTTCCATTTGCGAACTCCGCATCGGGTGACGAACATGACCCACGGCCATTTTCCCTGCCGTGACACGTGGTCGTGGCTTCCTGTAGGGAGTGGGACTCTCCCTCCAAACAATAACCGCCTCCCCACCCGCCTTCCTGTCCTCCACGCCAGAAGTCACCTCGAGCAAGGTTAGCGTTCTCTCTCTTCGTACTGTACTGT